CCACCTGTAAAAGAATGAAACTAGAACACTTTCTAACACCATACACAAAAATAAACTCAAAATGGATTAAAGATCTAAATGTAAGACCAGAAACTATAAAACTCCTAGAGGAGAACATAGGCAAAACACTCTCTGACATAAATCACAGCAGGATCCTCTATGACCCACCTCTGAGAGTAATGGAAATAAAAGCAAAAATAAACAAATGGGACCTAATGAAACTTAAAAGCTTTTGCACAACAAAGGAAACTATAAGCAAGGTGAAAAGACAGCCCTCAGGATGAGAGAAAATAATAGCAAACAAAGCAACAGACAAAGGATTAATCTCAAAAATATACAAGCAACTCCTACAGCTCAATTCCAGAAAAAAAAAAATGACCCAATCAAAAAATGGGCCAAAGAACTAGACAGACATTTCTCCAAAGAAGACATACAGATGGCTAACAAACACATGAAAAGATGCTTAACATCACTCATTATCAGAGAAACGCAAATCCAAACCACAATGAGGTACCATTACACGCCAGTCAGAATGGCTGCTATCCATAAGCCTACAAGCAATACATGCTGGAAAGGGTGTGGAGAAAAGGGAACCCTCTTACACTCCTGGTGGGAAAGCAAACTAGTACAGCCACTATGGAGAACAGTGTGGAGATTCCTTAAAAAACTGGAAATAGAACTGCCATATGACTCAGCAATCCCACTCCTGGGCATACACACCGAGGAAACCAGATCTGAAAGAGACACGTGCACCCCAATTTTCGCCGCAGCACTGTTTATAATAGCCAGGACATGGAAGCAACCTAGATGCCCATCAGCAGGCAAATGGATAAGGAAGCCCTGGTACATATACACAATGGGATATTACTCAGCCATTAAAAAGAATTCGTTTGAATCAGTTCTAATGAGATGGATGAAACTGGAGCCCATTATACAGAGTGAAGTAAGCCAGAAAGAAAAATGCTAATACAGTATACTAACGCATGTATATGGAATTTAGAAAGATGGTAGCGATAACCCTACATGCAAGACAGAAAAAGAGACACAGATGTACAGAACAGACTTTTGGACTCTGTGGGAGAAGGCGAGGGTGGGATGTTCTGAGAGAATAGCATTGAAACAAGTATACTCTCAAGGGTGAAACAGATCACCAGCCAAGGCTGGATGCATGAGTCAAGTGCTCAGGGCTGGTGCACTGGGAAGACCCAGAGGGATGGGATGGGGAGGGAGGTGGGAGCGGGGAGCGTGATGGGGAACACATGTAAATCCATGGCTGCTTCATGTCAATGTATGACAAAAACCACTACAATATTGTAAAGTAATTAGCCTCCAACTAATAAAAATAAATGAAAAAAAAATCACATAGTCCTAACTATATGTCTTTTATAACTGGATAAAGCCTTTGTTTAACACAATGTTAACTGTCCTGAAATAAAACATTCCAGTTTATGTTGAAAAGCATACTTTCCCTCATTTTGTTTACTGTTACCTCCTACTCATCACTGTTCTGAGGCTACCAATAGCTGAACTGAAGAGCCTGCATTATGTTATGTGAAAGCCCTGGATACAAACTCAAGCATGACAGTTTTCTATGTCAGTTTTATGTAACCAGTGCTAAATATGACAAAGTCAGAATAAGAGTAGATCTTATTTAGATAGCTTAAATTTAACTTACTAAAAATGGTTGGCAGTGCCAAATTGAAGGAGACATCAGGCTTATCTTCATCTCCATATTCTTGAGTTTCACTTCTTCACTTAATTCTTAACCTCTGTCCAAATACCATCTCATCAGTGTTTCCTTCCCTGAGGCCCCTGAGTAAAATGAAACTCCTCCCACCCTCCCTTATTAGGTCTCCTCATACTAGAATAAAACATTCAGGAATGTGATGATGTTGCTCGTTAGTCTGCTGATAAACTGTTTTGAGAATAGTGTCTCAAACAGAGTAAGTACTTAATAAATATTTGTTGAAAGGATGGAACTTCAGAGTAAGGAACTCCTAGAGTGAGAAAAATGAGAGCAGAAATTAATTAATCTAACTCTCTGTGACACAACCCAAAGTGAGCTAGTACAGATGACTGGATTCCCTTGAGTCTCTGATTTAGTGATTTTGGGGTGGTAACCAAGAACTGGCAAGTGCTGGTTAGTTCCCTGGTGATCTTCACATGATGGTCAGAAGATCACACTTTGACAGTAACTAATTTAGAAAAACTCTTGGGGTTACTGAAGTAAAAATTTGTATCATTCAAAACTATACTTTTTAACAAATTAATTGTTTAAATTGATTGAATTTTTACCAAATCAATTAATCTTCTTTCCCTTTATATATATATATATAAAGAATCAACAATAATTTAACCAAGTTTGTAGTTTTTAAGTTATTTTTCTATTTATAAAAATGTGATACCCATAATCAGGATACTTGAGTCAGCTTTTAAGTATAATGAAGTGGTTACATGTGCATTGCTATATTTATCTGGGTTCTGATTAAATTATCTCAAAGCTTATTAAAAGAGCCCTATGTTGATCTATATTAAAATCAGACCACAGTGCCTCCCAGGGTAAACACTGTGAATATGTTTCAAGGCATGAGGGGGACTGTGCCAAGGTAACTAATAAATATTTGTTGAAAGTATGTGACTCAGCATGAGGATGAGAGTTATGTTAGTTAATGAGGCTTAAGTTCAGTAACAGAAAAAAATGATGAATTCAAAATAGCATTTTAACTTTCTGTCTATGCATTCATTTCAAAAGACTTTTGTCCCTGAAAACCCAAATCCCTAATGATATTACATTGAAGAAAGACAGACAAAGAAATCAAAATTCCTATTGTATCACCTCCAATGTTGAGGAAATAGCCATTGTGTCTAGATGTAGCCATTATTTAGCATTATTTCCCAAGAAGTCTCGGCCCAGGCTACAGCTGCCATGTGCCACTTGCCATTTTCTTTTCTCATCCCCCTTGTCTCTGATACCATTATCTCCCCTCACTGGAAAGGCTTTGTTCCTTGCCTATTTTGTGGTGCCTGTTTTTCTTATTATTCATGAAAAGGAACAAAATATTTTTTTAATCACAAGAAAATTAAAACTTGCAATAAATAGCATACAGTTCTAGAGCCTTGATTCCCAATTTATAGTTCTGTTGTGTGTGGAGGGGAGTCATAAACTCTGTGGTACTCCGGGGTTCTGCTGTCATCCCTCATCTAAGTGAAGGAAAGTGAAAGTGAAGTTGTTCAGTTATGTCCGACTCTTTGGGACCCCATGGACTGTAGCCTACCAGGCTTCTCCGTCCATGGGATTCTCTAGGCAAGAATACTGGAGTGGGTTGCCATTTCCTTCTCCAGGGGATCTTCCTGACCCAGGGGTGGAACCCGGGTCTCCCACATTGTAGGCAGATGCTTTCCCTATGAGCGAACAGGGAAGCATCCCTCATCTAGGGGCTCATTAAAGCCCCAGGTAGTCCAGAGGCTGGAGAGTGCATTGGGACAACAGGGTCACCCCATCTAACGTGTCTTAAGTGGGTCCTCGGAATATTCAAAGACTTCCACACTACGTTCTGTATGCTACCATGCCCTTGCCTTTCCATCATGATAGAATATTCCTAGACTTAATTTAATCATTTTTATACATTAATATTCCTTTTATCCCTTAAGTTTCAAAGCTAAATGCCCTTGCATTCTAGATTCCAGAAAGACATAGAAGATTTTTTTTTCCCTGTGATCTCAGATCACTTCACTTACAACCCCATTTTATCTGGTCTCATCAATGACTTCCTCAGTTGATTGTAAGCAACTTTAAGCTGGATATAAGCCTTCCTCTTATTGTGTGTGTGTGTGTGTGTGTGTGTGTGCTTAGTCTTGTCCAACTCTTGTAACCCCATGCACTGTAGCCCACCAGGACTCCTCTGTCCATGGGATTTCTCGGGCAAGAGAACTGGAGTGGGTTGCCATTTCTTTCTCCAGGGGATCTTCCCAACCCAGGGATTGAGCCACATCTCTGGTGTCTCCTGCAGGGCAGGCAGATTCTTTACCACTGAGCCAGCTGGAAAGCCCTCCTCTTATTGTATCCTTCCATGGTTCTACAAGGTGCCATCCCATGTTGCATAATGAAATATAAGCCAAATAGGAAAGTTATGTGACCTAATCTCATTTTAAAATCATATTAGGTAATGCTCTTGGGTTGCGAGTATCCAGAATTGTACCTGCCACACTTAATTTGAAGAAAAAAAGAAATGAGACTGAATTATAAAGTATGTGAAATCCATTTTGGTAGATCAGTTCCATTCAAACTGGTAGCCTTTTTCATTGACATAAAATGAAGCAAAGCCAGATACAAAATATTGTTTCATCTTTTTAACCTGTTACCTATTTTTTTTTTTAAAAACAGAACATCCTCCAAAATAAGAGTTTCTTTTTTTAAACAGAACATCTTCCAAAACAAGAACAGATTCAGTATTAAGTTTTTTTAAAAGCAATATGCATTTCTTAGGCATTGATTTTATTTATTTATTAAGTCTTATACATGCCACAGCACACAGAGTTTGATATCTATATAATATCCCTCCTAATATATCCAAGTTCCAGAATAATATCCCCTCTTAGACTAATGTGCTGTCATGAACTAGGTACCAGAAAATAAGAGATATTCTAATACTGTATTGAAAAGGAATTGTTTTGAGCTCTAAGTGAGTAAGAGAACAAGTAAATGCATTTGCTATAATTTTCAATCAGGCATTCTATTGTTCTGAGAACTAGATGACAATAAAAGAACACTGTAAGTATTTTTCTTTTCAGCAGAGGACAGGAAACATACAGGATCTGTGACTAAGTTAGGCTGACAGGTTGATTTAATGCCATCAGGAACCTGCTGTTTGCAGACATGATTGCAGTGACTCTATTATGTAACAGAACAATGATTTCCGAAGATTTGTGATAAACACATTCAGTAGAAAATATAATAATAAATTGATTAAGGAAAGTAAAACACTTTCCAGTGTTCTTACTTGGAGGCAGATCCTGCATTTTGGGAATATAAAAACACTCCCTGAAGTGCCTCAGCTTGTCTTCCTCATCGAGGCGGAGAGCAACTCTCTCATCTGTTGGGTGACATCTAAGTTCAGATGCGATGCGTCGCAGTGTATCAGTTGGTAACTCAAGAGGTGAAGGCTCCATTACAAGTTCTCCTCTAAAAATACATTTGAAAAAAGTTAAAAATAATCAAGCAACCATAATTTTTCTTCAGTAGAAAATTAGCCTTTTAGGTAAAACACCTTTTGTTTTAACTAAGTTTCTAGTCTTCCCAACCTCACAAATGAGATAATTAACAACTGGAATTCAGACCCATGCCTGAGTTTTTGTTATGTAATGAAAATAATAGCAATTTAGGGATTTGGAACAGCTGAATTAGGTAATGATGCTCAAGACAAGGTCAGCTTTCAATAAATGTTAGCTCTTTCCATTTTTATTTTCCGAGAAATGGTCCCAATTAATGATTTTCAAACATATATAATGTCGGTATCTTTTCTTAGATGTCTTACTTACTAGGAGGTGAGAATAAAGAGGCTTTTGTGAAAAGTGTAGAAGAGCAGTGCTCCGCTAAACTCATTTTCCTTTTCTCTAGCTCTCCTCAACTCTCCCATCCTCAATAATTCTTGGATCATAGTTTTAAAAATATATACAATAGAACCCTAGCAAATTATTTACTGTGAATAAAAAAACAAGATCAATGAAGAATATTTAAATACTTTAATGTTAGTGATTTTTTTTCCCATATGAAGACCAAAGAATCTACTAACTGATGATAATAAAACACTTCTCCTCTTTTGCAATCATATAGACCATCCTTGAACAAAGCAGGGACCTCTGGTGTTACTTGAAACAACATCCTGCTTCATTTAATCATCATGTAACACTTCCTACATTTTTGGAAAGAAAACTTACATTTCTGAAAGGGATAAATGGCAATGGAGATTTCTATTTCTTTTTTAAAAAATATTTATATTTCCCAAATTTTCAGGTTTGTTTTTTTTTTTTAATTGAGCAAGAATTGTACAGCCTTCCAATTCAAGATGGCAGTGAAGGTATATACTGAACTCACCCACCCTCATAGACACAGAGTCTAAAGCCACATATGCAGCAATGTCCTCTGAACAAAAAGCATAAAGGCTGGCTGAACATCAACTACACATTGGAAAAACAAAGAGAAAACCACACTGAAGTGAGTAGAAGAGGCTAGGATACAGTCTGACCTTAACACCCCCTCTTGCCTGTGTGGTGACCCACCTTCTGAAGGAAATCAAAGCCTGGAGCTTCTCCCTGAGGCACTGAGGGTTTTGCTCCCACATCAGATACTTCAAATTTTAAGACATGTATTTAGGAGATAAGCCCCCAAAACATAAAATTGTGAAAACCAATAGGGCTGAAGTCCCAAGATACAAAAGAGTAGGAGCCTGAGTAATGGATTTTAATGGGCTTGGATGCTCAATCTTACCTGTCCCAGGGCCTGGCTCAAAGGCAGGCAGTTGTGCTTCGACTTAGCCAAGGAGGCTCATCTGCTTATATTTAAACTCCAGCCTGAGGGGTTGGCATCTAATTTAACACACACATCTAGGAACCTGCTAGAACACTCTCTGCGGTTAGAGACTGGTGGGTGTCAAGAAATTTTCTCAAGCTAGTTTTATTTAATACTTTATTGTTGACCCCATGTATACAGTATTCCATTTTTTTACTCTTTCAACAGATATTTATTGAGCACCTGTACTATAGCTCCAAGTACTATAGAACAGCAGCATCTAACAAAGTATATAAATAGTGACTTTTGTTGAGTTCAATTTTTAGTGCAAGAAGGGAAAAATAAATTAATATAACTTTAGATAGTTTCAAAAGCTATGAGTAGAGATATCAGAGAATGGGATAGAGTCACTGGGACATGGAATTGCTACCTAGGGGGTGGGTCAAGTGCATCTCTCCTAGGTAAGGACACAGGAGAATTTCTGAATCCTGTCAGACATGTGAAGAAGACCTAGACCTGGAGGAAGGTGATGAAACGTGCAAAGGTCCTGAAGTGTAGACAGGTTTGGGTTGTTCAACTCATGGAAGTAGGGAGAAGGGAAGACTATAAGAGAGGAGGAGGTGATAGTTTATCATGATGACTCTGAAGGCCTGGAAGGAGTTTGGCTGTTTTTCTATGTTTAGTGGGAAACCACTGGAGCGTCTTGAATAGCAGAGTGATATAACTTTAAATAAAACTCATTTTTCTGCTTTTGATAAGAGTGAAAAAGAGATTATTTTAGTATTTCAGGGGGAAAATGATAGCGAACTAAATGTGGTGAGGGGAAAAGAACTGTGTGGATTTATGGTATATTTTGGAGAGAAAAGTAAAGGAATTATCTCTGATGAGGACAAGAAAAGGAGTGACCTTTGGCTTTGGGATCTGAGTGAATATATTCAAAATGATGAAATAAGAAATACCTAGGAAAGAAACAAATTCAGGAGGAAAATCAGAGTTAAGTTTAGGACATGTTAAGATGTCCTAATCATGTTGAGATGATTATTAAGAATCCCAGGTAGTAATGTCAAGTATTGGATGTTTGGTCTGTAGCTCATGAGAGAATTGAATCATGAAATATGTTTGGTACTTTTCAACTCATAGACAGTACATAAAGTTTAGAACTCTTCTGTCCAATGGAAACTAACAGAGATTGCAGTTAATCATCTTTCTCCTACTCCCCACTCTCGCTCCTGCCACCCCAAACAACACACAGTGTTAGGCAATTAAGAGTTGCATATCTGAATGTTTTACAATGCCAGCTAAGTAGACATACCTCCTGTGCTCTGTACTTAAATTCTCCTGCTTATTTATTTGAACTCTTTCTTTCTCAGTTGCCAGGGGTCTCCCCTGATGAGCCATCCTTTATATTCAAAGGTAAGAATACTGAGCTTTAAATGTGTATGATTTTTAGCTTTGGTGCTTGTAGTAGTTTTCAACTGCTCTGATCCATGCTTTTATAAGAATGTTAATTGATTTTTTTTATTAAAGTTTTTTGTTCTTTTAATACCTGACCATACTAAATTGGGGCTTCCCAGGTGGCACAGTGGTAAAAAAATCTGCCTGCTAATGCAGGAGATGCAAGCAAGAGACACAGGTTCGATCCCTGGGTCAGAAAGATCACCTGCAGGAGTGCATAGCAACCCATTCCAGTATTCTAGCCTGGAAAATTCCAAGAACAGAAGAGCCTGGCGGGTTAAAGTCCATGGGGTTGCAAGGAGTTGGACACAACTGAGCACACACATACACACACTTTAGGGCTTCCTCGATGGTTCAAAGTGTAAAGAATCCACCTGCAATACAGAAGATGCTGAAGTTGTGGGTTCAATCCATGGATCAGGAAGATCCCAATCCACTCAGTATTCTTGTTTGGAAAAATCCCATGGACAGAGGAGCCTAGAGGGTTACAGTCCATAACATTGCAAAGAGTAAGACATGACTGAGCACATGATGGTAGGATGGATGGATGGATACCATATTAAATTATTTGTCATCTTCATGAAACTTTCTATCTCTATGATTTTTATCATTCTCTTTGCCTAAAATATTCTACTTTTCCTTTTACATATTGAAATCCTGGTCACTCTTATAGCCCTAACTCAGATGTCATTGTTTTTCATGAGTTCCATTATGTTACCTGAGCTAAAAGTAGTTTTTTTCCCCTCTGAATACCTGTAACACTTGTGAGCACACCTCTTATAATATATTCTGCTAGTTACTGTAGTTATTTAGATACATATGTATATATGGGAAAGACATGCATGCCATGCCTACAACTTGATTTTATCTGCATTTCTAGCTATACTTTTCTGAGGAAGGAACCTGCCTTTTTAAATAGCACTACTGGGACTTCCCTGGCAGTCCAGTGGTTAAGACTCTGTGCTTCCAGCACAGGGGATGTGGGTTCAATCCCTGGCGGGGGAACTAAGATTCCACATGCTGTGCAGACAATAAAAATCTTAAAAAAAAATAAAAATAAATAGCACTACTGCTTGGCATTTTCAATTGCCTAGTCATAGTAGATCAGACTTTTGCTGGACACTTGGTGCAGTAAAGACAATGCACTATTTTATCAATGGTCTGTGAGTGACTTGCTCATAAAAGCTCTAGCCCAACAGTCCTGATGGTGTTTAGCTGAGCATATAATCCAATTCTTTCAGGAATCTGAGCTGTGAGATATAGCTATTCATTCAGTTAGAAATAAGCACAAATTTAAGAGAGAGAAGCAAAAAAATGGTAGGGTTTGGAAGGAGTATTGTAATGAGTGACTCATTTTTTCAGAGTCAAACTGAACCACTGATTGTTAAAACATGAAGTGACTTCAAAGACAAGTAAGAATCACTTAGTTACATGGATGGCAAAGATAAAATAGCTATGGCTCCTGAAAAGGTGACAAGACAAGTCAATCACGAAGTCATTGAATCTTCCTGTGCAACATACTATTTACAAGGCCTGGGGGGTTGCCTTCTTGGCTGTTCCAAGAATCCCATGAGCTGTTTTTCTGTCTACTGAGTGTGTCTTTACTATAAACTCGCTACTTACAATAGCTTGATTGAATTGCTGGTCCATCGTGCTGAACTATATTTTAGTCGGGGGACTGAATCTCATGTAATTTATCTTTGCAGCCATCCCATTCCTGAGCAGTGTCTTTAAGATAGTATTCCCTTAAACTGGCAATTGAATAAAATGCACAAAATAGCTTGGTGAATTATTTGACAGGATTAATGACTGTTATTTTAGGAATACCCTTCTCATTTCAACCACAGGGGAAGTGATTTTAAAAAGATTTTTTTCAGTGGGACTCTGAATCAAGAGAGCTTGCCTTATATTCGTGATTTCCTTTGGAGAGTCAGCACTTTGTGAGTTCATCAGGGCTGACTCTAAACTCTAATAGGTTACCTAAACAAAGATATATTCATTTTGTCTTGTCATATCCCCTGTAAAATTTGACTTTTTTTGTTTAACAAAAAAGATATTCATATTAAATCATGGGCCTCTTTATATTTGTTTCTTATTTAATCCCTGTACCAGTTCTGAGGGACTAGAGTCGTTTTCCCCTCTTTTGAGACCAATCTCTGGAATCAATAGAGTAGAAACAAAAATGAAAGAGAAAGATAACAGAGCT